CGCGGGATTTGATTGGGCCTCAACTTATGTCATGACATAATCTCTTGTCCCATGTGAATACGATTAACCTGACACAAGGCTGAAATGTGTTGCGCTGGAAGCTTAATACATCGACGTCTTTCACAGTAAATTCTATGTATCATGCGCTCACACATTCTGAGGTACTGGTAGAAATAATAAGAAAATATGGCATTCGAAGATTTCACTAAAAGTTAAAATCTTCGTCTGGTATTTTATGTGAGAGTTGTGCTAACCAAAAACAACCTCGCGAGGCACAACTAGCCAGGGAAAGTGTTGTTTTCGTACTCGTGATGAAACAATCAAACGCCTCATTTTTAAAGCAATTTTGCACGTTCTACGTGACCAATCATCCAAATAATGCCAAATTTGTATCTGCCACAAGTGTTGCCAATATTTTGGGTCATTTGGTTGAACGGTATTCCAAATAGGTTGAAAACGCTAATAATGGCGGAAGTGACCTTTATTTGGTCGCTTTGACTATGTGGAAATGATTTGATTTTTAATGATAAAAATGCTTCTTCTCAATAGGTTATTTTCCACCGTACGCACTCGATTTGTACGAGATCTACACTACAAAAGCGGAGTATCAACTGTTGTTCAAGGGGTGTGTATGCGGTTGGAGCAAGTGGTACCGATGTTTTTTTCTCTAATATGGGTGTTAACATAACCTTTGGATTGATCGACCATCACCTTCGAGATAATCATAGTGTCGGTCTATAGGACTCTATTGTTGTTGTTTTGTCGGTTTTCTTTCATTTTGTTTTGTCATACTCTTGGGGATTGGCTGTGTGTATCCTAATTATGTAGAGGCAGGGTGTTACATATAATGTTATGTATGAGCTTGATGCTACATTTTTTAGTAATAAAAATGCGCTTTATTGAAAAAAAAATGTGGCTGATTACGATGCCTGGTAGCGGGTTAAGCGGGAGCCGCTTGGCACATACTCCATCATTTTTCTGCATATTACAAACGCAGAAGCTCATACATAAGCACATATACTCACCCCTATATATGTAACACGCACATCATATCACTATGAACATCCAAGTGTCCCGGCCAGCATATCTTTTTGAGATTGACGAAGTCATCCTAGACGCCTTTGTAGTCGACAGGAATGTCTCCTTCATTGAACGCGCATTGCTGAGAAATGCGAGCAGTAATGTCAAAGTCTAGGACTTGAACTCTGGTAGGTTGGGGATCACTTTAGCTAGATTTCAGTCAGCTGAATTTTTATTTTGTGGTCAATCGATTTTATGGCCCTTGAATTGTGCTTTAAGATTTGTGTAGTTTTTTTTTTCTATCATGTTTTGCTGGTGGTATTGGGCTGTTTGGATTTGATTGACACCTATTTTGGTCAGTCGATTTCATTCCTGGGCTGAATTTTGGTGCGTGCACGCTTTTTTCCCATGGGTTTGCTTTTGTTTTTTGCATGTGTAGATTTTTATTTTTATTTTTCAGTTGAGTTTTTTCTTTACGTGTATTTTCGGATGTTGAGTGCGTGAAAATGTATACATGCAAGTACTACATGTACAAATTACATTACAATACGGCAACTTCATTCTTATATATTTATTCTACATATTATAAAAACTGCATTTTGTGCTAATTTTGTGATTTTTTTGTTTTTTATTTTCTTTATTCTTTAAGGGTAATACCAATGCTAATTGTTTTGTGTTATGTTTCGCTAATTAAATACATTTTTCTGTTATTATGTGTATGTATGCATGAAACTACTCAATATGTGTGTAAATTGTATGTTATTATATGTGAATTCACTGCATATTATAAAAAAAATGCAATTTCACTGCAAAGTTGTGTGCAAGTTTTTTCCTTATTTTCTTTCTTCTTAAGAGTAATACCAATGTCGCTAATTTATTCCCTCTTAGAAAACTTTATTTGTTTTACCATGTTTAGTTTTTAATTCATTTACTATTTACAAGGATGATACCAATGCCACTTATTCGTTCCTTGTTTAAAAAACTTCGTTTTTAGGTAAAATTCACTATTATATGTTTATTCTTAGATAACTAAAAAACTGCAATTTATGTGTAAATTGTGTGCAAATTGCATCATTATTATTTTTGAATTCCTTTCTTCTTAAAGGGTTGTACCAATGCCACTATACTTCATTTCTTCTTAGAAAAAACTACCTTCATTTTTGTGTTTGTAAGTAAGTATACACGCAAGTATGATACACCATGTGTGTAAATTATAGTAGAGAGCAAAAATGCACCGTATATGCTTATTTTTGGCATATTACAGAAGTGCAATTTCAACGCATAGTTGTGTGCAAGTTATTTTTTATTTTTCTTTCTTCTTAAGGGATTTCATTTCCCCCTATTCAGTATTTGTTTTTATATATTTTGTTTCTTCTTAAATGGTTTCATTCTTACATAGAAAACTTCATTATTTTGTTTTTGTTTTAGTTTTTGTATTTTGTTTTCTTAAAGGGTTTCATTCTTCCATAGAAAACTTCATTATTTTGTTTTTGTTTTTGCTTTGTTATTTTTCTTTCTTCTTAAAGGGTTTCATTCTTTAGCTTCATTATTTTGTTTTGTTGTTGTTTTTTATTTTCTTTCTTTTTAAAGGGTTTCCATCTTCCCTAGAAAATTTCATTATTTTGTTTTTGATTTGTTTTCTTTCTTCTTAAATGGTTTTATTCTTCCCTAGAAAAGTTTATTATTTTGTTTTCATTTTCATTTTCTTTCTTTAAGGGTAATACCTTTATTCTTGCATATTATAAAGAGTGCAATTTTCGTGTAAATTGCGTGCAAATATTGCCATTACTTGTTTTTTATTGCCTTTCTTCTTAAAAGGTACTGTCAACGTTCAGATTTTTTTTATTTTCTTTATTCTTCAAGGGTAATATTAAATACCAATGATTCATTTTAGCTTAGAAGACTTCATTAGTATGATTTTTTTTCTATTTTTTTGGTTTCTTCTTTAAGGGCATCATCAACTCCACTAATTCATTTCTTATGAGAAAACATCTTTTTTGCAAAAGTTCCACTAACATATGTTTACTCTTGCATATTTAAAAAAACATAATTTTTGTACATATTGTGTGCAAGTTTTATCATTATTCATTTTGTTTCTGAGAGGGTGGTGGTGGTGGGGTGTACGGTTGATGGTGTAGGAGTGCAACTTGCTTGAGGTTAGGCACAAGGCTAATCCATCAATCATAGTACTCCTCGGCTCAACAACAAAAGCAGGCACACAAAGCAGCATATAATTACTACGTACCACAAATTAGTTTGGATGAAAAGGAGGACGTATGTATCATGCGTCCGTGCTTATGCATGCAGAATGCATCATGCGTACATGCATGCATGCGTAGATACATATCATGCACGCGTGTGAAATGTGTGCATGCATAGCAAATCTGGAATGGGCTGGCTACCAAACACAAGTGTTGTTTGTCGACTCGACTGACCCAAAAATAAGATCAGTCGACTTACCTATAGTCGCTCCCGTTGGGGATACCACGGTCGTCCTAACTATCCAACCGCAAATTGGTTCCCGCATCACTGATCAGTTGCTTTCTGAACGTCCAGGCGGCCAGCGCCGCGACTAACGCGGCTGGTTCGCACCTCTGTTTTCTTGTTAGTTTTGGATCCATGTCCTTGAGTCATGGGAACGAGGATCATGGGTGACGGGTGTACAACGTCTCAGATTCTACTTGTACCTGAATTACTTAGCCTGCTGAACGTGCCCTTGAATGGGCCAGATGACAGTTCAGAAATTCCAACTTCACAAAAGCTTTGGTGATGCTTATTACTATTAGCTGCCAACACATACATCCGAAGAGCCTCAACTGTAAACAGAGGAGGTTTTTCCATAGTTATAGGTAGTAAACCTTTTTTTCCGTGCATTGGTTCACTAACTTTTTGTAAATTTTGATCAACTGCTTATTACTTATTGCCCCTATTTGGGTATTTGTTTTGCATCTCCTGTGTCATTGTCATTATCTCTTTGTTTTCCGAGAAGAGTCATCTTTTTCAGCCCGGCTTGAAATTAACCAAGCCCATTTTTTAATGTTCAGGTTTCACTTGGAATATTTTATCATTTGAAAATTTTCGAATTTGGGAAAGAAGATACCCAATAGAACGGTTATCAAAGTACTTCCTCTGTAAAGAAATATAAGATCATTTAGATCAAAGTACTGATCTCAACAATCTTATATTTCTAGTCAACTAGTCAGGGACGAAGCTAGAAAATATACTAATGGTGACATTTTATAGTACAATAAATAGTAGCTAGTGCTAACTAATCAAGAGTTCTCTAATTTCTATTGGGGGTTAGCAGACACTAGCGCAACTATGCCAACTCTGTACCTGCAACTATATATATATAACTAATTGAGATTAAGCAGCCAGGTTCGGGGACTCAGGAAGCCACGCCGAGTAGGTTTTGAATAGACTGTCGTTCGGTGACTCAGGAAGCCAGGCCGAGCAGCCATGTCGTTCTGTTATTTTCCAGTTGATAATATTCTGCTATTTCCTACGGTTTGAGAGCATCTTGCAATGCAACTAGCCAACTAGTTTAATATAGTGCAGTATGATTACAAAGTTGAATACGATACCTGAGGTGAACCAAACGCGTCCTAAACGTTTAGTCCATCAGGAAGGCTGGTCAAGCAAGTTATACTTGTCCACTGCAATAATGCTTTGCCTTCCTTGTACCTGCATATGCTTGCCAATTGCCATGCAAGACAGGTTGTGTAGACAAATGCTCATCCCAACAATCCATCCATTCACTCTCCGGTTCATCTGAACTGCATGATATTATGCTGCTACCTGCTACGGTATGGTCATGCCCCAAGAATTTGCCAGTTTCTTTTCCTCTCACTTATCTTCTTTATCATCTGATCCATTCTGCATGGGGTGATGCAGGTCGAGGAACTGAGTGAAAACTGGTTGTCTTTGATTGTTGTCATCTATAAAAACAACTTTGTACTGTCCCTGGAGCACTCTGTAATATGAGAGTTCATTGCAAGTATTTTCACATATTCAGGTACTTTCTCTGTTTCTTCGCTGAAACTGCACATGTTTGCAACTGAAACACTGCATAATTGTTTGACATGCTTGCATATTCAGGTACCTTCTCAGTTTCTTTGCTGGAAGTAGCTTTATTGTGAAAAAAAGCATAAATATAATGTTGACGCCATTCTTGCTGCCTGCGTTGCTTCTTACGGCACTCGCGGCCACCGCTAAGAGCCTCACCTTGAAGCCAGAGTGCCAACCGAGTTGTGGCGGTGGCGTCGACGTCCCTTACCCATTTGGCATCGGCCCAGGCTGCTACCGCCCGGGCTTCGAGATCAAGTGCATCGGCAATATGACCATTCTGGGAAACAGTACCAGCCAGTATCAGGTGCTAAGCCTGGCCGTGACACCGCGTCCAGAGGCAAAGGTGATGCTGCCGGTGGCATACCGGTGCTACAGCCCCGATGATAAAGTCACTCACGCATACGACGGCGGCGTGGACTTCAACTCGGCCGGTGTCTACCGCATCTCCAACACTGGAAACGAACTCATCATCCTTGGCTGCAACACCCTCATCTTTACCGCCGGCGGGCCGAGTGGCCGCCACAGATTCGCTTACTACGCGGGATGTGTCGCCTATGCAAACGACTCCAAGAGCGTGCAGGACGGCGCCTGCGCCGGAGTCGGCTGTTGCCACGTCAACATACCGCCGGGGCTGACGGACAACAGCATGCGGTTCGCCGGCGGTGGCGTTTGGTCGCACGCCAACCAGACGTTCTGCCCCTGCGACTTCGCTTTCATCGCGGTGAAAGACTACTACAATTTCAGTGCGGCCGACCTCGATATTACGACGATTGGCAGGAAATTGCCGATGCTGCTAGACTGGGCCATGCGTGACAACGGCAGGAGTTCCCTGACGTGCGCCGAGGCGGCCAGCATGCCTGAGTACACCTGCGTCAGCGACCACAGCGAGTGCGTCAACTCCAACAATGGCCCCGGATATGTCTGCAACTGCACCGGAGGCTACGAGGGCAACCCGTATCTTCCCAATGGATGTACAAGTAAGCGTCTGTTTCTGCTTGTGGCCGCGTTTGGAAAGAGATTGCTCAATTCGTTCTGCTTTTGGGGTGTTATAATTAAAATGACCGCTTAATTTGTGAATGTTTTTATTTTTCCCTGTAAATTTGATCAAACTTGTGAAGTTTAACTTAAGCCAAAGTTTACATGTGGGGCAAAAATAAATAGGTGAAGTGCCTTCTTTTTAAATGTACACTAATAATTTTTTAGTTTAACTCCCACTGTTCCAGAATATAAGGTGCATCAATTTTCATGCAAGTCAAACACAAGTATGTTTGACCAAGATTATAGAACAACGTATCAACATCCACAATACTAAATAAATAAAATATAGAAATACTTATCATGATGGATCCAATGATACAAATTTGGTATCGATATTAATACATTTTTCTGCAAATTTGGTCAAACATGCACTGTTTGACTTCTGGGAAAAAAATTACTCGGAATGATATAAGGTGTTGCAGTACACCTTATATTTTCGAAGAGGGAGCATGACACAAAAGTAGTATCATCATATTCATATTTAAAATCACTTTGAATTGGAGTTGAAAGCGGAAAACCACCACATTGCGGTTAGCTTTGGAAAAAATATCTCGTCCTTAATTTTTTTTTTGCAATAGTCACCACGTTCCTAGTAATATTTTTTTTTTTGCAAAATGCATTGATCAGGTGATTTGGCCCAATTGATCACTCTCTAACAAGTGGGGCCGGATCAATGTTTTAAATAGCGGGCTATGGAAAATAGGACGGACATTCAAATCAGCTATAGCGAAGCTATATCGGACTATTTGTGAAGGCGACCATTTAGCGGCACCCTGCTGAAAAGGCTATAGCGGGCTATAGCTAGCCGGCTTTAAAACTATGGGCCGGATTGTAAGGAGCTAACTTAGCAAAAAAAATAAATTACCAACACACCCTGGATCTAAAACAGAAAAACAATCAAGCCCTTGTTCCCGGCTAGCTGGTTGTTGTCGGGCGGCGCACGTAGACAAGCACCTGAGGACGGCTGCTGTGTGCTGCCTCCTGTAGCTGCTGAGTGTTGCTACAGCTGCTCGCCGCCGCCGTTGCTGATGATTTTCTGCAATTAACTCTTTTCAATTGTGATCGCTATATTGTCTTATAACGCACAAATGTTAGCTAATCATTGATCAAATTTGAACATTCATTAATCATTATCTTATGGTTGATTCGCTGATTAATGTTGCAGATATAGATGAATGTGCACGTCCACGGGATCAATTTCCATGTAATGGTGTATGCGATGATACCGAGGGTTCATATGATTGCAAATGTCCTCCCGGCTACCATAGTAATGGTGATCCAAAAGAAAATCCATGCAATCCAACATTCCCACTTCAGGCGAGGATTGCTATAGGTATGCATATTCGTTTTATATTAAAATTATTTCCTAGCTATAAATGATCGATCCCACGGTATATAAGGTTAAAACTGCTTTGCTGGTTATTAATTTCTAACTCTTGCAAAATCGATATGGGCATTTGTCTAAGGGTCGATGCTATCCCCCAAACGAAATAAAACAAAAAGATATGTACAGTAATTTGACAGCTAGCTACTCTTTTGTATGGTGTGGACACACATTATCATCTGCAAAGGATCATATATATTATAGAGATTAAAAAATGGGTGGGTTAACTTGTCTCTTTGTTTAGTTAAAATAGTAGATAATAAAAAGATAAGTTAATTGTGCTGGACTGCATGAACTAGCTCGGCATCTTCTATTTAGCTACGTAGTTTTAAAACGTTTCTTTTTTCGCCCAGCGACTTGCCTTACCGGTTCATTTTCCTCCAAAATCACCATGGAACAGACACTTGTCACTGTAGTTTCAACGGAAACCCCCCGTGGTCAAAGAAATTGTACGAATGGCCCTCACTAGTCATTATTAAAACATAATGTATGGTTTATTTGCTGATTGTGCCTACTCGTGATTGGAGATTTATCTGTTGTCTGGGCTCTACGATCTTAGTCTTCTTCTGTACCCTCAAAACAAAACAATCTTCTTCTGTGAGCCCGTGCCCGAATGGTCACGGTGGCATTGCCTGTGAAAGAACACTGCATGGGCCTCCTAAAAATTAATCTGCTTGCACCAAATGTGAGCGGGGAGGGTCACGATGTTGCCCGCATCGATTCCTGGGTCCATGGTCATTGAGGATGACGTACGCCAAGGTCTTCAAGTGCTATCGATAAAAAGATGGGAAAGTCAGGGTTGCCACGGAGGGGGAGAAGGGAACGGATGGAAGCGCCAGGCATAGAAGCTCTCACTAGGGCCATTTGCTACTGACAATAATTCACCATCCATTAATTAAATGTGGCCCCATGTCTTCCGGCCTAGGGAGGCTCGGTAACGATCACATAAACCAAGCAGCACCACCAACCCCCCATTCCTCTCCCTCTCGTCGCTCCGCCGCCAGAGGACAATGCTAGGCGAAGCCCGAGTGGTTGACCGCGGAGGCGGGGCATTCTCTCGCGGCGGTCCCTCGGTCCATTGGGCAGCTGGGGTCACCTACTTGGTTGGCCAATTCATACCCTAGAAGCTAGGATGGCGCACCAGAGTACCGGCGGCGGGCAGACGCATGAGAAGTGTGGCGGCAGGAGACTACACTAAGGGGTTGAGCACGCGTGGTGCAGCTGATCGGCCCCTCCTAATCGAATCCGTGGGCGCCGAAACATTTTTTTGAAAGATCCAGAAATCTATGGAAAGAGAAAGTTGCATTGTAGCTCGAGCTATGTGGTACCTGCTATCATGACCGTCCATTTTCGCGTCGTGATCTGTGCAGCTAGGAGAACCACGAGCTGGCGTCTGACTACTCCAGAGTCATTAGCAGGAGTTGACCAGCCCCATCTTTTTGGCAGCGTCTCTCACAATTTACCTTTCCCATGCATCCCACGTGAAGAGCTCTGCCCCACACAACACATGCAGATGCTTCATCCAAGATTCCAAATGCATGGCGTGTGAGCAGTAGAGAGAGGAATGATTAGAAAATGGGAGAGAGAACAGACAATCAAATGGGAGGAGAGAAATCGCCCAATCTCTGGCGTGTTAGAGATGAGAGAGAGAAAACGTGGCTGTGAGGAGAAATCAAAGGAGAGACCGTGCGAAAGATAGGTGACAGGAGGTGGCAGAAAAGCAGCTGGGGCTTGTCTGACGGGCCCATGCCACATCATATCAGGTACAGTACCCAGCCCATCAAAGGTATTCTGGCGCCAGACTATGATGCGTTTACTGCCTGCCACAGCTGCTAATTCAGCACAGATCTTCATGCACTGATGCCCACATTGGACGCCCACGATAGTGGGTACCTCGGGCTACAAAGAACCGTTCTCCTATGGAAATTGCAGCGCTAGAAGAGGTGCTCTGAACATTCCAAATTGCATAGGCAGAACTGACAGCAATAGTTGTTCTCCCAACCACAACATTGGAGGCGGTCATTGCACCACTTGAGATCTCGGTGCAGCAACGCAAAGATCTTAAGATTTCCAGGCGCTCAAGCCTCCCAGGTAACTTCACCAAAGTGTTCCTTCTTCGATTCCAGGAACTATAGGCGGTATGCCGCCCTTGAAGTGTATTGACCCGAGCTCTCAAAATCCCATCTTATCTGACCTTCAACTTCATAATTAGGCGCCAAAACTTTCATATGCTTGGCTCACCTGACGTCGCTGGTTGGCTGGGCGGTGCCTTCATGGCTTTCCGCTGGCAGGAGCATGACCAGGATGCTCTCTCGTGCTCATTCGAGGCTGGTGGGGAGTGGTGGTTCATGCGAGTTCTGTATAGGAACGTGCTACGCAACAAAATAAATTACCTGCACAATCCAATCCCAGGAACACTATGGAGGTATAAGTAATGATAATCTCACCAACAATTCATGCAATAGAAGTAGAGGAAGAAGAGTTGGTGAAGTATGTCGATCCCCGTAGCTAGGTTATACCTATGAGCCGTGAGAATTTCTTAGGGACGATTCGCCAATCTAGCATCTAAGTGTACAACGCCTCTGGTGTAACCACACGTACCAATCTAGAGGTACCAGATCACTTCGTGGACCCAGCACAAAGAACTATAGAGAAAACTAGAGGGAGAGGAGGAGCCTAGCAGTTCCCTAACTAGAACTAAAGGGAGAGAGACATGGCTTAGGGAAGCATGCAGGGAGAGGGGATTCCGACGTCATGGGGCTTTTGGTGCTCCTCCCTAGTGATCCACCCCACATATATATTGATTGGTAGGTGGAAGGGGGGGGTCGGATGAGCTCGGAGGGGAGTCTGCTAGGCCTCCACCTCTTGGGTGGCTTGCCCCCCAAGAAAAGGGGATGACGTCTAACTTTGGTCCCATGTGGGGCCTTGCCCCCAAGGCATAGAGAGCCCTACCACCTAGGACCCTTCCAAAATGTTGAGGTTTGGTCAAGTGCTTAAAAAAGAGGTGACCCGAATGATTTCAATGAATTGCTATTTGGTTAGATTGGAACAAATGGATTCGAAAGGAAAGAAAGACTGTGAACGAAGAGGGACGCTCATGATCGATTGGATTCGGCAAATAAACTAGAGGGCACGCCCGTGTCACCATCAGTCCACCGAACCAGCTGTAGATCGCGGGAACCTTCCAAAAGCTTCCACGCCCATCTGGTAATTTCTGGGACAATCCCGACCATCATTGGGACATCCCAGAACACCGTCGGAACCCATTCTCTCATTATCTACTATATTCTAATTCTGCATACCACTAGTCATTAAGCGCATGACCCTACATGTTCTATAATATGCGGTTTGTCCATAACACCTTCCGGTCAATAATTATTAGTGGGATGTGGACACCCATAATAATTCCCGCATATCAACGAAGATGTTTATCAAGCAAATCTTTGGTTATCGTATAATATTACCTTTGCTTTGTGATGCGTTAAAAGCCCGAGACGAGACTTTTATGGTATCCCCATGATCAACACTTTGATCACTATACTAGTTATCCTCGTTACTGGATTGTACTCTTTTCTCATTACTATATTTTGACATCCCCATGACTAACACCTTAGCCACTATGCTTGTCCAAGCGATGGTGGACATCATAATACCGAGTGGGCCTAGAGTGTATCTCTCCATCGCTGGAGGAGCAAATCTCATTCTTAACATATCGAACACCACATCATAATTTCCGGTATACCTAAAAGTTACCTTTATAATCACCCATTTATGGAATGATGTTTGGCCACCCCCAAAGTAACCATTCAATATCCGGGTATACCATATTCTCATGGTATAAGGACGCAAGTAAAGGTTAACATTTTATACAAAAATATCGGCAACGTATTGACGATGTGGTCTCGCAGTCTTTCATAAGTTGGGCCTATCCAACACCATTGTTGCCTGAGGCGAGGAAGGACGAGGCCGGAAATAGTGCAACAGACAGAGCTAGCGCAAGTGTCTTGGACTACCTCACCGATGCCACCCATCGTACTGATGACACTACAAGGAAACATGGTACGCTATGGTAATGCAAATCGAAACATTCTATTGTGAACACGCAAGCATGTTGCAGTATTACCACCAGACGAGCAGTCTCATTTGCGGAAGAAGAATTGGCGATGGACATCTCCTCCTCGCGGATCTATCGAGTGATCATCCAAGCGTCGCAGTTACAATAACTCTTGGAGTCCACACATACATATGGGATCAGTGTCGGTTGGGTGGAGATGTGCTAGCTACTTTAAACTAGAAAAAAGTCCATTTTACTACTCTCAAAAAAGTTGGTGATTCACATAATCCCCCGATCTTTTTTTCAGTTCCTTTACCCCCCTAAACAATCCCAAACCAGTCAAAAAATGTCCCTGGCTGGTTTTGCCCATACCGGATGCTGACGTGGACACAGTCAAAGGCGGTATTTGGCATGCGATTGGGCCCCTCTTAGCTAGACACTCTCATTGACTATTGGGCCTGGTCAATGCTGACTGAGCCAAGTCAAATATGACACATGGGACTCACATCTCGGTTGCACAGAGATTAACAAGGGACTAATTTAGCCCTAACTACATCATTAACAAAAGGGTACCTTCATGTCAATGTCCGAGACTAACCCTAGTCAACCTAAATGCTACATCGGCACGGTCATGCTCAAAGGTAGCCGGTGTGGAGGGCTTCAGCGGCGGCGCATCGGTAGGGCCGTGCTCAGGCGCAGCTGTGCGTAGAGGAGTCCGGGGGGCGGTCAAGGCAGCTGCGGAGGTCGTGGTCTTTTGTCGACCAGAGGCGGCCGACCATGGGTGTCGATGCGGCAGCAAGGGCCGGCCATGGACGTGGAGGCGGCAGCACTGCAGGCGGCGCGGGGAGGCAAGGGACGGTCAGATCCGAGGGTGGCGGCCCAAGCTCATCTGGTT